TGCGCGCAAAGTATAGCGAGGAGGAGCCTGAGACAGATGCCGAGGCTCCCTTGGAATTGAGCTGATTGATAGAGACTCTCGATATGTTTCAGACGGCAAGAGGGAATGCGCGAGGGAAAACTTCGGCAAGAAGCGTTACTCTGCCATTTGGCGTTAGGTTCCTTCCCATATTTTACCCACGAAGTGCAACCTGCAGGAACGAAGGGCTCTCTACACGCGGCACATCACAGCCTCCTGGCCCACTTGGAAGAAAACTCGTTTGCCGTCGTTTGGAGCTTGTTTTGGTTGCGTGGCCGTAAGTTGATGCTGCGAAGTTTAATGTGTGGCTGGTGAGTGCACCGAGGCTATCTACCAGGAGCACAACCCCGCCAAGCTTGCCGAAGTGGAGTCTCATTCGCAGAAGTTCAGAATCACAAAGAGGCGGAGTGGGGTCGATTATCAAGAAAGCCTGACATGACTGGACTCTTGATCCTGAGGATAGGCTCGTGGACAAGTACATCGAACAGCTGCCTGTGCTGTACCAGGCTCCACGTCAGACTACGGCATCAAGCCCTTCAGCCGACTGCTTGCTGTCGTGAGACTACAGGAGCAGTATGGAGCTGTCCGAAAATCAGGTATTGCGAAGAGAGAGATCGTAAACGAGCAAAGTGCTGGGACATGTGCTGATGCATTAAAGCTGCTTGCAGTCTTTAGCCTTGTGTTGCAGTCCGTCTGCCAGAAGTACGAGGTCACGAGACACGGCAGCATCATGTGGTGGTGTACAGCATGTAATTGGGACGGTGCCTGCACGAACTGCTTTAGGATTCGGCCTTCAGCCATATTCCCCATGAGCTAGACTCAAGTTCCTGAAGCTGTGGGAGCCTTCACGTGAAACTCGAAAGTGAAGCTTGCATGAGGGGATAACGACATAACGCTGATGTTGGGGGCCGCGGCCCGCTGGAGAACACTGTGGCGATAAGAACAAGCCCTGGCTTCCCAGGAGGCCAAGACCTGCGTTTCCTTGCAGCTCTACTTGGAGGTTCATGGGTAGTTATAAGTAGGGTTATAAGTAGGGTAACTATAATTATGACCCATATTTAGGGGACTTATAACCCCACTTATAACTACCCATGAACCTCGAAGTAGGGTTCTAGGTACTGCAGGGTTTAGGGTTTAGGCCTGGGCTTGGTGGTGGCGGTGATGTTGAACGACTACGAAGGCGGCGGCAGTGGCCTTCGTCTTCGGGTGATGTTGGTACTGACGCAGGAATCTGCAGGGCGTGCTTCTGGAACCCTCTCATCAAGACAATGTCGCGAATCAAGTGTGGTTTCGTTCTTCATTCCTGCTTAGCTGAATAGCTGCCTTTTTTTCTGCATTTTCTGGCACATATATGAATCGCCTTTGGGCGACATGACGGGGACGCAAACCTGCAAGAGCGCAGATTTAGTCTTGCCTTCGGCGCTATCACGTCGAAGCTAGCAGCAACTGATAACATAGAGGCCTGAATGGTTTACTATTCCTCAGAATTTGGGATGGTTATGGCAATAACTAATACGACTCCCAGGCCCTTGTTTATTCAGGCCCACATTTAGATCATTAGATCTTCAACGCATGCCTGTAGCATTCCAACGGCAGTGGGAAGTGTTATTGCAAAACCGAGGCCATTGCCTGAGCTGCTTGATGCAGAGAGGACACAAAGCGTATCCAGGTTGCAGCGAAGATTTAGCAGAACTCGTGGCATGTTTGGACGAGTCCAGGTAGTATACCTCCTGCTGCATTATTTTCTTTACTCGGCAGGGTTCCAGTCGCAGTCTGCACAGAGCTCTTTTCAGAATCGATCCCGCTTTAGGGACATGTGTAGCGGGACGGATCATCAAAATAAGTTGTTCTCTTTGACACACACGCACACACACAGAGGCTTTTCAACGTGGAACAGTCGGCTCTTTGCTCAGCGGGTGGCAATGATTGTCGAGGCCACACAGACTGGCATTCGCCCTTCTCGCAGCAGATTTCCGTTTCTCTCCATCGCACTCACGTAATGTAGCGTCTACGCTCGTCGCCGAAAGAAGAAAGAAGTCATAACAGATGCTTGTACCGGAAGTCTCACGCCCGCTCCATGCTTCAACCAGTGGGCTTCCTAAGCCACAAGCTTGGGCTGAATAGCCCGCGGTGAATGCACAACCCCATCAGTGATGTCGAAGCTCAAGAAGATTTTTGACTCATGCATCGCGCGAGCTTGACACGCCCAAACACATGACACCTGTCTCACCGAAAACAAGACAGTCTTGAGTCAGACGCTACCTCGTGACCATCTGGCGAAAGCTGAAACGATTAAGCTCAAAGCTGCCTTTTCCAAGGCATCGTCCACGCTTGCTACGCACAGCAGCGACACTACAGCTCCGTCCAAGCCGGAATCCGCCGCATCTCATCACTCACTTGTTTATGGAGCTGCAGGTTCAGTGGCTTCCGATTGCAAGGGCTTTCCTGCTATGCTTGAATCTTCATGAATGTCTGCGAAAAGGGCCCGAAATTTGATGCTCTACTCAGCCGCAAGTCTTCCATCTCGGCAGTTCGAGCCCTGCATATAGCAAGTCCGAAACGCAACAGCAAGGTTCTCCCCAGCTAGCGCTTACAGCAGAGGTAGTGGCCTGCAAAAGCGACAGCCGTGACATGCATCAGCATCATGATAGCAAGAGCTGCAACTTGATGTATCATAACTAATTACCCCCTCTAGGAGTAACTGCTCAACTAAGTTAAGCTCAGGCTCCACCAGAAAGCTCAGAAGCGAAGCCACGCACGGGAACCAGCTTCTTCACGCACCCTGGGCTTCTCTTAATCAAGCGAAGTAGGAGAGGATGGGTCTGAAGGATGCGGTTGCGGCTGCTGCGAAGTAGAGCAGAATCTGTAAACCCTCATAGGAATCAGGGCGTTTGCTCCCTCAAGCCGGTCTGAGTACAGTAAGCTTCGAAGTAGTGTAGCAACCTGGGAAAGCCTTCCAGGCTGTTTCTTTTTTGATGAGACGGCTGAGATCATGTTCAGCGGTTGGGCCTTTCCTGGGTGCAGATAGCCTTGCGGTTAAGATTGATACGTTGGCGGAGGCTTTGGAGCCGTGCTAACAGAAGTGGGATTGCAGGATCTACTGCTTATTTTTTGAAATCTAGCATTTGTAAGGTGTAGGTTTGCTCAGCTGATGCTTTTTGGACCCAAGTGGTGGCTGCAGGGCTTGTTTTTGCTTCTTCGAATGAGGTTAGCAGGCAGCTTGCCTGCCAGGAGTTCGGATCGTGGGCCCTCGATCCCTTTGGTCCCAAGGCCTCTGTCTCATACAAGGATCAGAGAAGTTCGGAATGACATAACGATATGATATAACGATATATCCGGATGTTTCCTGTATAAGTATCATATTAGAGACCCAAAAAATCCGAATCATCAAGGCCCCCCTGTGTTTTTCGAAGCCATGCCTCCGATACATACAAGGAGCGGCTTGCAGACGTTGAAGTCCCTCCAGGGAGCTGCAGAAGGCATCGGTGCTGAGTCAGCTTCGGAGAGTCGTCTTTCCCCTCAATTGGACCTTGCGTTCCCTCTGCAAGGACTCCGTGAGCAGATGGAGAAGTCTTTTGAGGAAGCCATCCGCTCGGAGGAGGCCTATGCTGGACTCGAGTATGTGCGGCTTGCTTCGTATGCAGTGTACGCGTGTATCTGTGTGTATATATAATAGATGCTCAGACGTTGTATATAGACATCTACATACGAAGAGAGAAAGAGAGAGAGAGAGAGAGAGAGTGCGAGAGAGAGAGAGAGACAGAGAGGGAGGAGAGAGAGCGAGAGAGAGATAGCTTGACGAGGGTTGCGGCCGAGTAAAGCTTGTTGCGACAAGAGTTTCGGTGGGGGGGTTGAGTCAGGCTTTCTTAGCCTGGGCTCATGGCATGTGGCTGTGTGCACATTACAAACTAGAAACAACGACCATTGCTGCTGGGCTGGTTTGTTGTCTAGTTTACGGAAGCGGAGTCCAGCATGCGCTAGAATCGGCGTAGTCGCGTCCAACAAGCTGTGTAGCGGCTAGAGCCTCGCAGACGTTGCAGGAGCAACGTTTCGTTTCGACAATGCGGGATACCTAGCACATCGATCAGATGGGCCGTGGCTGCGGCCTGTGTATGGCACTGACATCTAATCCGGTTCCTCAAAGAGCCCGGGGAGCTTGCATGGTTATTATGACCCTCGGCCAGGACATCTCCACAATGCAGGTGGTCCAAGGCTTGAGCCAGGCCAGAGACTCTCCGATAAGCTTGGGAGATTAGGCTTTCGAGTGTATGCCAAGATATTTCAGATGGAGAAGGGGTTTCTTGAAGTAGTGTAGTCATGACCTAGGTCAGTCACTCTTAGCCCCAGATTCATGCCATGACCTCTCCACATTGCACCCGCCCCTATCTTCTATGCTCTGTCAGTAGCAGTAGCATCAAACGCGAGCGGTGCAATACTTTCAGAAGCAGCAGCAAAATTCGTAGAGATAGCAAAAGACGCGACAACAGCAAATTAAAGAGCAGCTGTATATCCACAGTGACCGCTTGACCGGCAAGGTCAACAAAGCAACATGGAACAACTTCCAGCGGCACCAAGCAGAAAGCATCCGGCAGCAGCGGCGGAATGGTCAGCATCGCGGCGCATTCTCTCAAGCACTCTCAATCTCATTCTTGGACATCGTCAACTTCAAAGCCTTGGACGAGCCCTCGGTCGTAAGTGCGATATGCGCAAACCTGTGCTCGCAGTGAAGTATGTGGCAATCTGGAGATGGTGGATGGGGTTAAGTGCGTGGCGCGAAGATAAATCCTTGGGAATCCTGCTGTTATCAACAGCGCCAGCAGACAACGGAATCCCAGACATGCACACACACTACACACACACACACACAAGCATGCATTCACGCCTGTATATATATATATATACACACACATAATATATACATTCACAACTTCCCAGCCGCGAATACGAAAAGAGGATTTCGGATCCCCTAATCTGCCGTGGAGGCTGCAGAAAAGGGCGCGGCCAAAGCTCAAAGTGCAGCCAAGGAGGCAGACAGTGGGGCAAGGATGGCGGGTCTCGTTGTTTCACCCAAGGCTTTCAGGACGAGGTGTGCGAAGGATTCTGAGCTGGGCTCAGTTTACATAAGTACATGTATGTGAAGACACCAAGCACAATCAAGGGCGTTGTCGTTGTGGTGTATGTGTGTTTTTGTTTGTTCTATCTCACACACACACACACAGTCTCTCTCTCTCTGTCAGTCTGTCTCTATCAGAGGGGTGTGTCAAGCAAAGGGACCCCAATTTGAGCTTCGCACGATCTCTCCCATCTACTCTTTACACCCCTCAGCGCTAGCTCAGACATCCTATCGGTCCTATCTCTTGTCTACTAGCCTACTAGCCTGCAAACACCCTACAAGCCCATACCGCTACCCTAAAACCACTACCCTGACTCCATCTAAAACCCTAAGCCCTTAAACCCTAAACCCTAAACCCTAAACCCTAAAACCCTAAACCCTAAGCCCATAAACCCCTCGCCTCCCACCCTGCATCTGGAGCGCAGGTGAGCCCATCTGTGCCTGCGACCACCACTGCCCAGGCCAGAGCCAGAGTGGGACTCGGGAAGTTTCTGTGCAAGCTTTGTTAGCATGAGCCTCTGACTTTGCAGACCTGTCCAAAGCCTGCAACCTATCTGCAGATTGAATTGAACTTTCAACCTGTTCTGGCCCAAGACCTGGCTGGCAACCAGGACGTATAAGGGTAGGCTCGCAGATAGTCGCCCATGTGAGCACGCCTGGCCAACAGCATCGAGAAGTTGGGAGTTCGTCGCCATGACGAAACTTTCGGCTTTCTTTTGTGGAATGTTCCCCTCCAGCTCTCATCCAGTTGATCAAAGTCCCAGTTCCGCACCGGTGCATACTCCAGCTCCTCCGCCTTCTACACGACCCACACCAGCTCCTCCAGCACCTCCACCACGGCCGCCGATGAAAACACCGGAGGTCACCGAGCAGGTCACGAATGAGGTGCTTCAGGAGTCGATAGATGCAGTGACAAGCGGCGTTACAGCATGGGACCCAGAAGAGTACGTTCTCAACTCGCTCCTGCAGGAAGCAGTTCGGAATCATGGACGAGTGGATTTGATGACGAAGAAGAGCGGGGAGAAGTTTGCCGTGAAAAGGATGCCGAACAGGTGGGTCCGCGAAGGAGACAGGGAGTTCAATGAGCAGTACCCGACTGCCTCAGAACGTCCTTGGGTGGATATCGGCCTCGTGAGGTACTTGAACACCATCCAATATCCATATGCTTGTGAGCTCATCGGTGTCTTTCGTGATGAAGAGAACACATACGTGACAGCTTCATTAGCTACGCAGGGGGATCTTTTCTCCTGGTGCGATCGAGATCCACGCCCAGGACCCGCCAGGGAGGCGGTCATGCTCCCCATTGTCGGGCAGATCTTCACAGCAGTTAGGTGGCTTCATGACTTGGGTGTTGCGCATCGAGACTTGTCCTTGGAGAACATTCTCCTGACGGACAATGGAGGCTCGCAGCAGGTCAAGCTCATCGATTTCGGAATGTCTACCACCCAACGGGTTTGCAAGAGAGAGCTCCGTGGTAAGCAATCCTACCAAGCTCCCGAGATGCACGGCCCCGAGTACGATGCCTTTCTGGCCGACGAGTTTGCGCTGGGTGTTGTTCTCTTCGCCATGTCAGTGCAGGACTACCCTTGGACTTCCACCAAGAAGAACTCGTGCCAGCTCTTTGAGTACATCTCCACCTTTGGCTTGATGAAGTTCTTGAAGAAGAGAAAGTTGCGCAAGGGCACGGAGCACTTGTCGGAGGTCCTAAGCACCGAGCTTGCTCAGTTGATCGATTGCATGCTGCAGTTGGAGCCCGGCAACCGTCTTTGCCTTGGCGAATCCTGCTTCAGCGGTGAGGCCCGCCGCTCGGTGTGGGACGAGGTATGGATACAACGCTTTCGCGGACAAAAGTAAGTGGAGATCGAGGAGTGCTGAGTATGCCAACTGAATAGCATTTTTTAAGGAGTACGACGTCCACCGGAAGAAAGCATTGTCGTCGTCTTCACCTGCTGAACACATGCTAAAATCATTCAACTTCGACAGCATGTGGTTGCAGGTGGGCAAAGTGCTCCGACGCCGACATGGGGTGGAAACATACCCTGTGCGCCATATGAACATGATGTTTCACCGGCCTGTAGGCTGTAGTCCCCGAGTGATGGAAGCCCGGATGATATGTAGGGCACTGCCGACGGCCCCCCTCCATTTAAACGCCAGCAGAGACGAGCAGGGCAAGACTTGCTCGTTTGCCAGCTACAGGCCTCGACATAAGAGGCCAAAAGCAGCTGAGTGTGTATGACTTGGACTTCGATAGTTACAGTGCAGCCTGTTGAATCATGCTTCGGTCAGCTGCCGTGCGCTGGTGCACAAAATCCATCCGTGAACTAATTAAGCTCCTGCATGGCAAGCCGGACCTCGGCACGGTCAGGAGACGAAGAGCATTTTCATGTGTGAGCATAGCATTGCAACATATGTAGTACTTTCATGTTCCATCAGGAACGTTTCAAAGCATTGGGCCTTGGGCGAACAATCTCAGATAGACGCGCCTCCTTCTCGAAGACTGCTTTGACATCACAGCGTTGTTCGTTTCAAGCCCTCTGTGTGACATGCCCTCGCCTAAATGTGCTTACCGTAGACAGCTGCGGCGACTATTGTGTAGGCGAACGTTGCTAGTGCGATTCACGTCCAGCCATTGGCTTTGGAACCGTTGTCGTCCATAGCTACATCACAGCTTCAGCATTCGTTCTTCCGAAGATGGTGACCTGGACATGCGCGTAAGTTGGATTTGCTGTACTGGACTCCTTCAACGGAGCACACGATATTGCTCCTGACCAGACCGACAAGACTACTTCAAGGCACGCCATTTCCCGCTGCCGGCTTAAAATGCCGGTGGTGGGCCACACTGTGAAAATCGAGACCTAGGAAAAAAAGCGCACCGTGTTGCTTGCTTGCTCCGGTTTTGCGGCACACATACTGGAGTAATGCTTTATCACAGTGCGACGAACATGTCGGTAGGTATGTTCCAATCTGTTTGTAAATCTCTCTGTGCCTGAATACGTATCTAGCTCTGCGCATAATTCTGAGCCCATATACCATGCCGTGACATTGCTATGCCCTGCATGCGGCTTCGCCGCGGGCTGTAGCATCAGTGCAAATCGAGTCTGGATGCTGCGCAGGACCTGGGGCCAGAAAAAGGCGAGGCTGCTGAGGCTGGCAGCCATGCAATCGGGGCACAGAAAATCCGGACCTTAGGGTCAGAGATCCCACTTAAAAGCATACATCGGATCTGGAGGTTCAGAACAATCGCTCGAGGATTCCTGTGGGATAAAGTCTTAGCCTTAGCTGTTGGGGTAATTATTGTGCAGTCGGGGTTGAGGCCACCAGCGTGGCACACACTGCGCAGATGCAGGACCTGCATTTTGGCCATGGCACATGTTAACGCAGACTCCTAACAAATGAAGCTTTGTTTTCAAGGACTGTAGAAGCATGAATTAAGCTTGGGAGAGCATTAGGTAAGGTGGAGTGCTTCAGAGCAAAAGTACTTCGTTGGAGTTTCGCGCCCAACTCAGGGAAGAAGTCGGGTTCTGTTACGTCATTTGTGCGATTGAGAATATAGCGAGTGAGGCTGCCCTAACATGTTTGATGGTTCTGTTGGACATCAACAAGCAGGGCGATACGATGTACCCACATATGTATTTATGTATTCATGTCCGTCTGTATTGCATTGTATTGTTTTGTATTGTATTGTATGGCATTGTTATTGTTATCGTTATCGTTATTGTAAGGTATGGTATTGTATGGTATGGTATGGTATGGTATGGTATGGTATGGTATGTATGCATGTATGTGTGTATGTGTAAATGTATATATATATATATACACATCCGTATACATGTAAACATAAACAAATACTTAATATATATATATATATATATATATGTGTGTGTGTGTGTGTGTGCGTGTGATTGTGTAGGCGTGTGCGTGCACATGTCCACGTGTATGTCTATCTCTTTCTCCCTCCCTCTCTATCTATAAGTAGTTAGTGTATTTGTATGTCTGTTTTATATGTTCAACTCATGTTCCATTTAATTTCTGTTTAGCACATGTACGCACATCCATTGTCCACGAGGAGCAGCTAGAAGCTTGGCAAGCCGAGCGGGAGAGGCTCATCCGCGAAAACCGCGGTTTAAAGGCTGCAGCTCTATCGCACCCAGGTCCAGTTTCCACAGTTGTGGTGTCGGCTGTTTCTGCGGGTGTGCATCCCAGTGTAGGGTTTGCGCTGAGTTCTTCAAAGCCGTTCCGTATTAGGATCCGGCGACGTACAGGCTACATCATTACATGCACCCGGCTAAGACCCGATGCCTAGCTTATGCATAGTTCTAGTCTCTGGAAACACGAAGACCCTTGGCACCCCAACCCGAAACATCATACATCTCAACCTTCCATGTTCCTCCAAAGACATCTGTGCACACATCAAGACGCGGTGTGGCATAAACTCGTTTGAGGAGAAGGAGAACTTGATTCTTGAGGGCACAAAGATGTCCCGTCGGGTGCAAGCGGTGGAAGAGCGCATGAAGGCGCCAGGGGCAGTTGACTTGGCTCGAGTAAACACTTGTGATTAAGTTGTTCCCCAAACCCTATTCCAATCACGCACTTAAGGTCCCTATATGAGCAATACCTCCACAGGAAAGCGTGTTAAGGGTTCGGGAACCCACGCACATTGATATAGGAGTTTCGGAAAGTGGGGCACTCCAACGTAGAACTTTAAGCATTGCCAAATTGTACGAACATGCTGATTGTGACTGACCATGCATGTCTGGCTTTCGAAGCCAGTTCGGGCCGCTACATCTTTCAGTTCGAGTAGCTTCGGACTGAAAATGGGTCAGGAAAACAGCTCCAGCAGACAGCCTCTCGAAAATCGGACCCGACATGTTGCGCACGGCTGTGAGTCCATGAAATAGAACAGCAGTATGCCGCAGCACCGCAGGAACCAGGGACTTCCAGGGCTAATGTGATGAGCAAGAAAGACGATCGCAAGAAATGTCGTGGCTTTGTTTCGTTGTCTATGTACTATAAGCTTGTTGGCTTCGATGCACGATGGCGATCTCGTGTTGATTTCCACACCCATAGCTCCAAATCAACTTGTGTCCTGAAAGCTCAGCGCTGCCGCCTCCCAACCCTAGCTGCTCACGAACATGGTGCCTGCCAAAGCCATACCCCGACGGGCCAAACTGGAACATCCATTACAGAGCTAGGGCTCGAGCTGTCGGGCTTTTGAGTCGGATCTAAGCTGCGCATCTTGCTTTCTTAGGGCGTATGCTGAAGGAATCGGACTCTGGGAATTCGAAGTACCGAGCTTGGACCAAAGTCGCCCGGCATGGGCCAGTGCAGGTCCTAAGCTTGAATGCCCATATTGCGCAAGATCTTCTCTGTACTGAAGACGACTCATTAAACACAAAAAATATTCATTAGCTTAGCCCACATGTATATTTGATATTCCAGTCGTCCCAAACCAATGGACACATGCTGCGCCTAAAAAGTCCCAGTGCGGGTGCCGAACCCTAGGTTTGGGGGGTTAGGGTTATAGGGCTTCGGGCTCAGGGTCTAGGGATTATGGTTTAGTTCCTGGCGACAGAAGCCAGCAAAAAGGGATTAAGGCTTATACTTATTGATTTAAGGAATAAATAGACAAATAAATAAATAAATATATATATATATATACATATGTCTATGTCTATAGGGTTGACAGGCTTAGGTTTCGGGTTTACTACGCCGCAAGGCCATGTCTGTGGAAGCTCGGCGGTCTGAGTCCCAGCTGGTCGACGCCGAGCGCACGCAGCAGGCGGTATGTGGGCCTCCAGAGACAGAGACCATAAGCAGTACCTATCAGGTTAGCGTTTAGGGTTTAGGGGCGCCATCAGCTTACTATAGGTGGTATTGTCAGGGTGCTATGAGAGGTACTATACAGGTTAACTTCCACTCTTGCATGGTTCTCGTCAGCACCTTGATTTGCATGGACCGCAGGCTTTAGTGCGATAAGGTTCTATCATGAGACACGTGTGCGATGAGTGTTGAAGGAAGTCTTGAAGGGCTTTCTTTGGGAAATTCCCAGGGCCTGCAACTACGAGGGGCATCATCAAGAAATGATACGTAGCCTGCACGTCCCTCTAGGCGAAGATCGCCCATGCAAGACCTTGCTCTCATTGTTCTCGGGTGATCTCTCGACGTCAGGCTTTAAAGAGATTTCCAAAGTTTCCGGCAGGTTCCCATCTGTTAGTAGAGCGGGAAGCTAGCGGCCAGTGTCGGTTCTCGGTTTGGGACGATGGTAGATAGTAGGGTGGACGGGTCACAAGGGGAGGCGAGTTTCTCCTGTTCACTTTCGAACATCAGTGCTCTGGCCACATTCAGAGGCTCAGCAGACAGACTATGATGGGCCAAGGCTTTGGCCTGACCAGTGAGGGCCTCTTGTAGCGCAGGCTTAGCACTCCCTGACTCTTGTGCTGTCCTTTCCTTCGAGCACTCTGCCCCGAAACGAGCTTTCCCGCCTTGCAGTGTGAAAGCATTCTCACAGAAGATTGACAGAATACATCTCGTGATCCTAAACCTTTATCCCAACCCCAAGATTTAATACCCCGAGAAGCCTGATGCCCTGGTTGGCCACATCTGCACTCACCGCAAGGGGCTCCAGAGTCAGCTTTCTCGCGCCACCGCGCGAGTTGAAAAGGCACCTCGGAGCAACTTTCGGGATGGTGTTGGTGAAGCTTAATACAACTGTGTAGATGTTGTATAGATGTGAAGGTGTGTATATATATATATGTATATATATATATATATATGCATGTACACATGTATCTACAGGTGTGTATACTATACTTCATATATAGCTTACATACATAGATACATACATACATACATACCTACATACATACATGCATACATACATACATACATACATAAGCACATATCCTGCGGGAGACATGAGTGCAGCAAGTCGAGAGTTTAGGGTTTAGTGATGTTCAGGGTGTAGGGCCTCGGGTTTAGGGTGCAGGTTTGGGGTTCAGGATTTAGTTTAGTGTTTAGGGCTTGGGGTTTAGGGTTTAGGGTTTGGGGTTTAGGACTTAGGGTTTAGGGGTTTAGGGCTTAGGGTTTAGGGGTTAGGGGTTTAGGGGGGCTACAGCGTATGTATGTATGTATGTATGTATGTATGTATGTATGTATGTATGCATGGATGGATGTATGTATGTATGTATGTATGTATGTATGTATGAAACTATGTAGGTAATGCAGGAGTCGAGCAATTGGTAGGTTTCTTGCAATATAGTCATATAGTACGATATACCCCCAAAAAACATTTTTTTTTGGGGGGGGGGGGGGCATTACGCAATCAAGACTTAGATTGCGGCCCCTTTTCGGATCAAGTGATGACATTCCTGATTTTGCCGCCCCAGACCTTCAGACCCTGAACCTCCACACGCATCATGACCCCCGAACTACAAATAAACGAGTCACTTAGACTCAGCCCCGACCACTCAAAGCTCGAAAGCTATGAGGGCCTACTTGGAGGTTCATGGGTAGTTATAAGTGGGGTTATAAGTCCCCTAATATGGGTTATGATTATAGTTACCCTACTTATAACTACCCATGAACCTCCAAGTATAATTCCTTGCAGACCCTAAAGTCCAGGGAGCACAGGTCTGCCCTCAGTGTGCCAACACCTGGATCTTGCTGTGGCCCTCCGGAGATACCAGCCTCGTATTCACCTCCCAGCAAGCATTTGCTGCTACTGCCTTGTCGAGTTGTTGTGAAGAATTCGATGCATAATGGACTTGGAGGCTTTCCCTTGTCCTTGCACGCTTTGCAAGCCGCTCCTCAATTCTTAATTCGTACTTGAAGTTAGTTCGTTGCTAATGCCCTTCGTCTCACTTTTCTAGGTTCGTAGCTGCCTCCTACTTTGCGATAAAGTTAGCTTGAACTTAGATACTGCTTAGGAGGAGGAGGGCTTTGCATGCATTTAGTCCTAGTATCTGCACTGCAATTTACTGTTTGTCTTGGAACTTCTCCGTCGGTGTTTGCTTTAGCCCTTCCGGTGATCCTATGAAAATGAGAGGGCCCAACATCCTGAACTAGGGCATTCTTGTATGTGTAGGAGGTTGGGCATAGGAAGCCGGGAATTCCTCTTAGCAGAGGGTCCTACTATTGCTCACGGTGTTTTCTCCCAGCTTCCAGTAGTTAGTTTCACCTCGCCGATTAATGTCCACAAGCCTCGCCTGCATTGTCCCAGTGTGAGAGCCGAAACCTCAGAACCAGATCCTAAACCCCAAAACACTCTTGCCTGACTTAGTTTCACGCCGACTCGCACCTGTTGAACCTCGCCTGGCTTGTCCGAATTGTGAGAGCGTAAACCCTAAAATGCCCTAAACAATAGAAGCCCTAAAAGGCCCTGGACTCTAATTCTTGAACCCACGAGGCTGAAGCGCAGAGCTCCGAACTCCGCGCCGAAACGCGGCGCCTGACATCTGAGTTGGACCCTGCGCCGCACAGAAATCGATGGCATCTCTTCGAGGGCTCAGAATGGCTTAAGTTAGAAGGTAGATCAATCTCGTCGATAGCAAGGGCTCAGCATGAAACTGAAACTGTGTATCATATGCTTTGCAAGAGGTCCCATGCTATGTAGGTCATTGCATGAGAAACCCTTATACATCTCCTGGCGCACTCACAGAGCGACAGGGCCACGAAGAGGGGATGTGGATGCTTTGCTCGAGATGCTGTCGCATCTCATCAGTCGGGAGCACCACCAGGACCAGGCAGAAGCATCAAGCGTGTCTAAAAGCACATCATCGCTGCGAAGCTTCCACAGTGGTTCACTTGTTTTAAAAGACGTGGTAGTGGCAACGTAGAGACGGTGTGGGGTGCCCAGCAGTCCACAGTCGGCTTCTGCCTCCTTGCCTCCCCAACTGCCAAGGACAAGGCCAAGCAGCAGATACAAGGTGGGGGTTTCCGAAAATAGGGGACCCTAATATAGTACCCTAATTAATAGGATCCCTATTATAAGGACCCAAAATAAGGTACCCCTAATTTTCTGTAACTCCCAGGTGAGAAGCGTCAGATGCAGGCGCGCAGGGATGGAAGTGACTTTGACTTTAGGATGCTGGAGGTTTGAACTGGCTCCTTCTCGTGAGCACGAGTGGCGGGCAGACTGAGAAGAGCAGCTTTCGGAAACTCGCGTGGATTGCGCATGCATGTGTGCATTTCCATAAGTCTTGGAGCTCCAGACACACCCCTTGCTTCACCAAGTCCATCCGAGCAGCTTCAATGACCAAGCTCGGGTTTTGGGTTAGGTGCGCTAGGATTCAGGAGGTTCTTGCTTGGCTGCCGGCGTTAAACTGCGCAGTGTTGGACTTGGACGTTCTGGCTCCTGGTTGTTCGCATGCTCTGCCCGTCAATCTTACATATTGTGTGAGTGAGCGATGAACGAATGCTAGAAATACCAACCCGGAGCTTACCTTCTTCTTACTCCCCGACAGCAGCCAAAAGAAGAACCCCAAGGCCCTGTGCCGCTTTCCTCCACCCCTGAGGCGGACCAGCAAGCCCTTCAAATGAAGAGCCGTGAAAATTCGGAGAAGGAGGGGTTTCGAGCTGAGAGGCGGCATTTGTGCTTGTGTACTCAAAAGGGTACGTATAGAGTCTCCATTGTAGTTCCTTTTTTTGGTTTAACCGATTATATATTAAGGATTTTAGGATTTTTATAAGGTATCCCCAAAAAGGAACTACAATGGAGACTATAGGTAGATTAGAGGATTCTTCCCACATGATCCGTTGGCTTTCACTGGACTTTCCTGCCACTGTTTCTTGAAGGCGCTGGGACCTGCACTTGCGCAGTACAACCCCGACATGCAGTCGCGTAGTCGACCTGGAAAGCATCCATGTTTGCAATATCTAGACTAAATCTCTAAGGCTTCCTTGAAATCAGTAGAACATTTCAAAACGATCCCAAAGGCCCTTCGCATATGGGACCCAATACAGGATCCTGACGAAAAGCCCCTCAACGCGAGGTACCCCGAACTACCTAGCTGCACCCATATACGGGTAGTGACGGATGCAAAAGGAGCGAAGGATGGAGGAGCGCGTGCAGAGACTCATCTGACATGGCAGACTAGGTAGGTTTCCAGGTGGTCTTAAGTCGGGAGTATGAGGGACTAGTTACAGTTTAGTGTCGGGCTTACAGGTCCTCGTCATCCACTTCAATATTTTTGGGGTTCGAGTTTTGAGAAGTTGAGCCCATACTACCTGTGCCTGTTGTTTCTATGCGGGACTAATGGGTGCTTGCGAAATGTCTCGGCGGCCTTCGCTTATGTCAGTCAGATTTGCGAATCTTATCCTCTTACATGGCTTGAAGAATATATGCGTATAAAGAAAGGTACCCCGAAGACCTTAACATCGTATTTGGTCATCTTATCCGCTGTTGTCCCTTGACTATATGTTTGGATGGCCCTATTCGAGTTGATGCGGCCCCATGTTAGTCGCCTGCCAGTTCCATTCGAGAAAGCTCTGGTTGAAAGCGGGGGAGAACAACAGTTTGCAGCATCAGGTGTTAGGGCTTAGGTTTCAGGGTTTAGGACAACTTCGTGCGCATGTCACGGCGCGCAGTGTATTCGTGCAGCGCCACACGCAGCCTTAGAGCAGAGCACCCAGACCCCTTGTTTATACTAGCTAAGTTTAGACACCCAGGCAACTCATGCACGAGAGGGACGAGCTCAGAGCAACGAGCGCCTCCTTGTCCGTGGAGCTACAGCAGGTGGCTGGGCATTCTCTTATGACACATATCAAGAGGGTAGGATGTAGGATCAAGGTGAGGGAGTATCTAAACTCCCGCACACCACAGTGCGCAACAACAACCTCCCCAGCCTTTTAGTCTGACGCATTCCGATGTATTGCATCGGTCTTCGGAATGGGTTGTCCTTGAGTCTGGGCTGGCAAATGTAACAAAGAATTCCAGTATTGAGCCAGTCTTACTGTGGCAGTATCTGGTCGGAATGTACAAGCTCAGGTGCCCTTGTTTTCAGCGTGCCTTCGTGCGCAGCAGCTATATTCTGATTGACGTGCAACACGCTTCCGACGACTACGGACTTGGTAGGCACTCGTGTGCTACACTAAAGCATACTTCAACCCACAACGAAATGACCGAAGCAGGCTGTAGCTCTAATCCGGTACATATGGGCAATCAGAAGAGTGGGCAGCATGATTTCAGTCGGCTCTAGCTGGATTGTAAGTCAAGTTGGCAAGTCAAGACTCAAGCCTGGCGTGTCTCTAGCATTTACTGATTTACTGTATACTACTATACACTCTATACAACAAGCTCGACTTGCAATATTCGGATGTCATGTGGCATGAATGCCAGTTCAATTCAGCTCTCTGTGTCGGCATGGTCTTCGCGGTTCCAAACCTCCAGCTCGAAGTTGACGAAGAAGGCTTACTGTTTAGACCGCTCTACAAGTAGCAGCCATATCGAGCTCGGAGTAAGGCACAGTCCACCTGACAAGCACCGATTAAAGTCTGCTGATCTGCATTTTTGGTCGAAACTGAACGCTACGTACCCCTGAACGATCGACTGTTGATATGAACAATAGCTTGGTGCGCGTGGCCTATTTGTGTAGAGATCATTTCAGGACAAGTTGGTTCATCTCCGGAGCTTGGGCCTTCCTTGGATTGTAAGATCACGCAAGCCCTGAACTCTAAATGGGAGCATGCAAGGCCTTGGCAGCTGTGGATTCGCTGGAGCGGCGTTCCCATCAGCAGATGCAGGCAGCACCTGACAAGACAATACAGAGGTTGTAATGCTTTAATACTATCCCTCTATAGTTCCTTCAGGGTTATCCCGTAATGTACCCAAGACCCTCGCCTAAGTGTTAACGCTTCTGCATTGGGGTGCATATTTGGGCCTCGATTCGATCTTCTAGATTCTAGACATGGGAGAGGGTGGAACTTGCTGTTTCGACTCGTGCGATGGCACAGGACTCTCAAAGCCACGTTGCAAGCGTGGTACAAGAAGTGACGTCACATAGACATATCCCTGCACTGCACAGCTCAAGTATTCAAACAATTCAGATGCCTGCATTCGTGGCGACAAGGTTGGGATCGCGATGTAGATAGCCGCTAGTCGCAGCTGTGTCGACAGATCCTGCGCCCGAAACAGGATATAAGCCCGGACACTTATTGCCATGCCTGCTTTGCGAGTGTGTGAGTCGAAACAGGATATGGAGCAGCTTCAAGAGAGGCACAGGCAGCAGATCGAGGCGGCAGAGTACGAGCGGCTTGACTTCCTTTCTTCATGGCTTTCGCCGAGGGGCTTCGGGTTTAGGGCAGGCGTCAGCCGGTGCCTTGCCTGGCCGGCGATGCGGGATCGAAAAAAAGTCTAGAAACCCAAAGCCCGGAAGCTTGAGACAGTAAAAGAACACCAACCCCGAATGCAGGAGGCAAAAGCACTTACGCCATACTGCCCTCCCCTTCCCCATGACCCTGTAGCTGTACTCACCAACCTTTCTACAGTGTCAAACTACAGTTTCCAAGAGGAGCTAGGACTAGGGATCCCTACAGCAACAAGACGTCGACACCGGAATATGTGTGATATCCTAAATATGATTATGTAAGCCAACTACCTGAACCCCTT